ACAGTTCCGTAGGTTTTGATGCAATACACAATACACCATCTATTAAAGGAATATATAGTAAAGTTCCGTAGGTTGATGCAATACACAATACACAATCTATTAACCAATATAATTCACCAAAACCATACTGCAGTCCTTCAATTATCATACAGGGAAATTTTCATCTTTCTAAACATCCCAACGAATGATTTTACAGGTTCTTTAGTTAACAAAATTGCGGCATTTGTGCAGATCGAGCAATCAAAATACAAAAAGACCCGTAAGTCTCATTTGTTGGTATATTGTACATTCCCCAAAAGAAACAACACCCAACAACATACGAATATAGTGAAACTTACAAAAAATTTTCTCAAAAAATTAAATATTTTTTTAGCCAAACATGAATGACTGTTGTCGACTGTAAATGAAAGTTTTAATCAGTTTAGAAAGTCTCGAAAGGTGGGAAAAGACTGAAATGCAGTGAGTTGCTAATTCTAAATTATCTAGCTTGCAAGAATTAAGCTGAGTCAAGATTCTTCATTTCATTTAAACAAGGTCTCAAAACTTCCAATGTTGTTTTCTCGTCATGTCTAGAACTTTAAACCTTGAAAAGAACAGATAATAAGATGTCTAGAACTTTAAACCTTGAAAAGAACAGATAATAAGACTCTAGAACTTTAAACCTTGAAAATAATAAGATGTCAAGAACTCTAAACCTTGAAAAGAACAGAAAATAAGATGTCTAGAACTTTAAACCTTGAAAAGAACAGACAATAAGATGTCAAGAACATAAACATTGAAAAGAACAGATAATAAGATGTATATGCTTTAAACCTTGAAAAGAACAGATAATAAGATGTCTAGAATCTTAAACCTTGAAAGGAACAGATAATAAGATGTCTAGAACATAAACATTGAAAAGAACAGATAATAAGATGTATATGCTTTAAACCTTGAAAAGAACAGATAATAAGATGTCTAGAATTTTAAACCTTGAAAGGAACAGATAATAAGATGTCTAGAACTTTAAACCTTGAAAAGAACAGATAATAAGATGTCTAGAACTTTAAACCTTGAAAAGAACAGAAAATAGGATGTCTAGAATGTGCAATTAGTAAAGATTTCTTTGAGAACCCAACTACAGAGTGCAAAGTAATGTTAAAAAACAACTTGTGGTTAAATTGGATTATTTTATTTTTATTTTTATTTTATTTAATTAAATTCTTAACCCCCCGCCGCTCCATGTTTATTAAATATAATATATTATATATATTATTTGGTGTATATTATCACATACTTAAAACTTTATAATGAAAATTCCTAAGAGGTAAATACCAAACACACCATTATCAATGGACTTCAGTTCATCCAATGATTCTAGAAATGAAGATAGGAAGATGGGAATGAAACTAATGCTTTTGTATCTAAAGAAAAAAATAATAAATAGAGTTCTTATTATAAAAATCCGAGGATTAACATTTATATATAAAATAAGATATAAGTAAAATTGTAGAATGTTTGTTACATTAATAGTGGTCATGGAATAATTTCAAAAAATGGATTCTCAAGATCATCCCTCCAAAATTTACAATTTGTAAAGATGGAATTTGCACTCTTTCTGAACAAATATGCACCATAAAACGTCTCACAAATTAAACCTTTAAAAATGTCTCCACAATAATGCATTCTCAGCTGAACTACCATATCTAGCCAGACACTCCCTTTAAAATTATGTCTAGGTACATTCAGTTAACTTTAATTCACATTAATATCTGAGAATATTTCATCTTAATGAAATTAGAAATATATATTTTAATATCATTTATTTTCAGATCCGCAGTGTTGTTGTGGAGTCCTGCTCAGATCTGCTCATAGGATTAGATCTGGTTAATCTTAATCCTTCAACAGTTCCATTTACATTCAAATCATCTGGACACATTACTATAGGAACAGTAACACCATGTTACACGTCTTGTATGTCTCATATAATCTATATACAGTACACAAGTGCCCAAACATTTTGTATTTAATAATAGCTATAAACATTTCAAAATCATCAACATTTTGTTATAAAACATAAAGCATATATCACAAACTGGAATAAAAAGACGTTCCTTTGGGTTTTTCTATATTTCATCTAACCAAGGTTATAATGCAAGGAAAGTTATTTAAGAGGTGAACGCATCTTTTGTACTCCAGTGTACTTACTGTCTCTGTAATGTAATGTAAACACAAGACGGATGTCGAAGCCTGGCAGGGGATCCATCTTTCACATAAAAAATCAATGAAATATTCTAGTTATAGGAAACTATTAGGTGAATTATCAAAGTTATCAAAATTTAATTCTTTTAACCTCCCTCCTCAGATACTAAATGAACACTGATGCATCTATTCTTGTTTGCAAATTCCGCCCAGAGAGAAATGGTTCAATATTTACTCAGAGTAAAAGCAACTGCGATTAACTTTCCTTGCATTACAACCTTGCTTCTAACAGTCTTTAAGTCTAAAAATTCGATCAATGAAAACTTTAAAAATTTAGTTTAAAATGTTACTGAACTTGCAGATTTCATAAAATTTGATCCTGCGTACGTAGATAGGCAGGTTAGAGATTTTTTGTAATTTAGTATAAAAATTTCAATATAATATTACCATTTGAATATTATACAAACTGTTCTGTTGTTTAATGGAATGTAAAAAACAAAAAAGGATAAAATGAAGCCATAGTTCAGTCAATATAAGAAGTAATGGAACATTAAAATCTATATTTTCTATCACACAATGCATATACATAATAAATTGCAGAAACTGATCTTGGTGTTTGAGAATGTTGAGGTTGCCACGCTCGGCTCTTTACACGTGGATGAAGCAATACAGGTGGGTCGTCTTTGATACCATACTTCTCCAATCAATCAATAACTAGCATTTCTCCAAAACATTGAAATTCAAGAACGAATCGACAATATATGGATTCTCCTGATATTACCTGCAGTTGTTTTGTACACTTTCAACTTGTAATATCATTTGTTGATAATGTTTAAAATTTGTTTTTTCTAATATCCACCAAAATAGATTTAGCTAGAGCTAGGGTTGATAATGATTAACAGTTATGTTGCTTAAATCAACCATATTATAACTAGATACTGGTTGATATGTCAAACTATATGTGAATAAAGGTTGATAATGTTAAACATTTATTTTTATTCAAATCAACCATATGATATCTAGATAAGGTTGATAATTTTAAACAAATGTTTTATTCAAATCAACCATATTATATCTAAATAAGGTTGATAATGTTAAACAATTATTTTATTCAAATCAACCATATTAAATCTAGATACGGTTGATAATATTAAACAATTATTTTATTCAAATCAACCATATTATGTTTAGATAAGGTTGATATTATTAAACAATTATTTTATTCAAATTAACCATATTATATCTAGATAAAGGTTGATAATGTGAAACAATTTCGTCTACTCAAATCAACGTTCGGCCATATCCCAGCTGAAGGACTAAACGTTTCAAGAACTCGGAAATTGGAAATCAAAGACTCTATTTTTTTGAGAGTGTACCCCAGGTATTTACATTTTTTAAACATCTACCCTTTTTTTAAAAAATAATTGTGTTTTATCGAAAAAAAATAATTTAGAATTTATCTATATGTTCAGCGCACCAAAAAGTGACCAATTTTATAATTAACTATCCGATTTTATGTTCTGCAGATTGAGTTTTTCGTCGTCATAAATAATCTAAACTATTATTTTCCATCTGAAATCTTTGTAACCTGAGGCCGAATTTAAAGAATTTGAGCGGCGGCTTAAATTTAAGCCGCGGCTCAATTGAAACCGGTTTTTGGCGGATTTAAGACGCGGCTCAAATTCATTAAATTCGGACACTGATCTCGTAGACCTTGTATGTTTTAAATTAAATTATTTTGGGCTTTAAAGTTAGAAATATTTTTCTGGTTTATGTCAGGGATAATGAAAATTAAATTTGTATCGGTTTTAACTGAACCAAGTGCAGGTCTTTGTTTTAAACACTTTTAAATATTTTCAGATGTTTAATTTTAAAAATTTTACTTTTTATGTTTTCTTTAGATCTGTAGTTGTTGATAGAACTAAGGAAGTTGAAGTGATAAACAATGAATTCAGTGTAAATGCTTTAAAGGTAATAAATTGTTTTCAAGATTAAAATATTTACAATAGTTATTTAGAGTAACATTATTATTTACAAATCTTGGTTTTGCCATCCTTTGTGTTTAGTTATTGCTATGTATTACGGTATTACTCATTATGATTTGTTTAACAATCTCATCCGTTTTTTGCTCTTTTGCAATTGGAGCCATAAAGTTGGTTCATGACGGAATGAATGATATTTTTTATGTCAGCATTTTTGTTTTGACATAATTGTAATGTCTTCAGCAAAAATTTTAATGATTTTTTATGGCTTCCCATAAATTCCCCCATCATCACTATTTTCTTCTATATTTAACAGAATAAAATAATAAAAGAAAATAAAGAAATTTAAAGTTCAGTGCATATAGAATATATATAAATATATATTTGGATGAACAATGAACATTGAACAAAGATCAGCTGACATGAGATGAAAGTACTTGAAGAAAAAAATGAAGAATGTTTATATTTTGTAATTTAAAGGCAATTTCAGCAACATCTATAAAATAGAAGGTGTTTAACAATTTGCATCTAACATCTATTATAAGAAGGAATAAATATTGAAAATTGAGCAAAAAGTTTTTTTTAGACTTTAAATGGAATTTAATCATTTATTTCAGAAAAAAAACAATGGAGATGAAAGAATCTAAAAGTGTTTATTATTTCTCCATTTTCAGGTGGTCTCTACAAGAGATGGATCCCATCTGTTTATCAGCTGTAACCGTCTGCTTGGACATCCAATAACACCAGAATGTTTACCAACTACAACTACAACAACAACAACAACAACTACCACCACAACAACGCCAATTAAAAAGTAAGAACTATTTATATAATTTTCAGTAAAAAAAAATTTAAATCCGATTGTTAATGGTTTTAGTAAAAGTCACATAATGGATAGTTAATCGTTAGTTTTTAAGAAAGTTATTTTCAATCGTAAATGGAATTTTCTGATAATTTTCAAAAAAGTTTTCTTAATACTATACTATCATCTAACTAAGGAAACTTTGTTTCTTCTTCACATAAAAAGGCATATACAGTAATAACCAGAAAACAATCTAATAGAAAGACGACATTATAGCAATACTAAATCATTTTGATGTTGTTACAAAAAAATTTGTTTACTTGTAACTTAAAAGGGTCTATGTACGTCTAATGTTCATTGAACTAGTTTAAGTACTAACTTGAGTTAAAAAATTCGTCTTCATATTTCAGAGCTTTCTGGTTAGCGCTTTAGTTTAAAATGGGTCAGACTAAAAAATAACCAAATTGTAATTGTTTTTAATTTTTAAGTTTAATTTACTCTTGTTTTTAACAATACATATAATTTATTTTACAACTAATTTTTGTTAAGGCATTTTTGTCAATCCCTACGGAATCTCCTTTTAAAACATCGTTTTAAACACAAAAAAAAGTTTGGTTGCCTTTTAATCACAGTTAAAATGCAAGTTTACCCACAAAGCATGAGACTGATAAAGACGACAGAAAACTCTTAAAATGACGATCCCAAGGTTAAATTATGTATTCTGCCTTAGATATTGTCATCTAATTGCTTATTTAATGATTTGGCAAAGAAAAAACAAATTTACGATTGCAGGGAATCGTGAATATAAGGAAACAGACCGTTTAAATTCCGTACAGTCGTCTCTGAAGTCTCATCTTTTCTGGGTAACCCTGTACTTTCAGTATACAAATATTTACAGACACTTTCCCCCTTAATAGACCCAGAGTATTTTCTTTCTAAACTAACTACTTGTCTGTTTAGGAGTAGTGGAACCTCATCTCAAATACCTTCTACCTCGAGCGAACAGGGAACCTTGAACAATATAATTCACATCAATTTCACTATTTTAGTTTTAAAGGGATATCCAGTGTTATTAAAGGGTTCAATTAAAAAATTATCTGTAAACCGTTGACAGAGAATTATCGTTTTTTCTGGAACTAAATAAAAGCAATAATTTTTTCGTTCGTCCAAGCTGTAGAAATCACACAAAATTTCAAGCCAAAATTGTTAGTTTAAAAAAAGATTGTTTATAGAAGGTTACTTATCATTTTAAAAGGGTAATCTTTTTAAAAATTTACTAAACTCAATTTTTTAAATATTCAATAGGAAAAAACGATTCCCTTTAATAATTTATATTAACACGCAAAAAAAAATAAAACCTTTATTCACATTTAAGCTTATTTAACATTTTAAGAACGTTTTTATACAGTGTTAATCACAAAGGATAAGACTGTAAAGACGATTCCAACTTAAAATTTAGTCTTCTTTAATTGGGTTATTTAATGATTTGGCAAAGAAATAAAAGGAAAATAACAGCATTAATTCTGTAGTCGTCTCTGAAGTCTCATTGTTTGTTGGTAACCCTTATTTAGAGATTTATTTTGGCGGGGTTATTAGCGAACAGTTGACGGCGAGATGATTGCCGGCCTAGTTTCTGGAGTAACTGTCGTCTTCATCGTTCTAATCAGTACAATTATAATTCTTTGCTTTAAAGAAAGGTAAATGTTTATAAGATGAAAGTCTGGAAGGGGGGAGGGGGGTAAGGGGGTCATTTCTCTTCTCTCTTACACTTTTTTCCACTAGCCTTGGTAGTTTGGAATTACACCATCAGGAACTTAAAACTTTCCCGTAAATATCAAACTACAAAATTTAAAAATTACATTAAAATCATGTTCTTCCGTTAGTTCATTTTTTTAGTTAAGTAATTTCTAAAGAAAGTTTGATATTATGAGAAAACCAACTTGAATCATTGTTTTAGATTTTGATTTAAACTTTGCCCTGGAAGAATTAACAAAAAATTCACTGGTTTTAAAAGAAGGGATTATAAGGTGTGCCCCCTCTCAATTGTTGAACCCTACGTTTTTCAAGAAGCGGGCGTTGACCTCCCCCCCCCTTTAAGCCACCTCTGCACTGTACACCTAGAAAGATAAGGAGCCTAGATAAATTTTACTTTTTTAGCCAGATCAAAAGTATTAATAAATCAGTCACAGGAAAATTACTTTCTTCGCGTTTTTTATTCGATGAAAAGTTTACAGAATTAATGATCAGTAAAGATCGACCATTCATAATATCCTAGAAAATATGGATTGAATATTTTTTTATTTAGATCAGAATTAATACCCCAATCAGTTTCATGAAAAAAATTTCATAGTATTTTTTTTTTATTTAAAGATGCAAGTCCTAGAAAATGTAGATTAATATTTTATTTAGATCAAAACTAACTTAGTTTCCAGTGAAATCAATTTATTCACGATGTTATCATAATTTTCTTACGCATATAAAACTAACACTAACGAATTGCATCCTGTCTGCATCGGAATATTTCCAGTAATATTTTTATCTCTAATTTGATATCCGTCAAAAATAGCGTAAAAAGATCTAATTTACCAAGATATAAAACCAAAAAGAATGAAATCGTAAAATTTACGTTTTATGAATGAAAATGGGATCTAAAGATAAGACTAACTGGGCTTTTTAGCAGGACCTCTAATTTACTCCCGCTTTTCTCTTCTGAGTTCTTAATTTTTATAAATTATAAATATAATATTTATGTAACATATATATATCCTATTATGAAGAGATTTATTTTAACTCATGATTAATTCTGAGGCCCACATTGAGACATTTTGTAATAAATATTTTTTTATGGTTAAACCATAAAAAAAAACTGTGGGGGGGGGGTCATTCTGTACCCGCGAACATTTTTTAATTAATGTGGTACATACAAATATGTATGTGTACAAAATGTAATAAAGTCAAAACATTTTTGCAATGCACTTTTTGTAATAATCTAAATATCCTGGGCCTTCACGAGGGACTTGACAGATCTCAAAGGTGCCAGATTCGCAAAGATACCGTTTGAATCTTTATATGAGCACGCTGCAATGGGACAGAAACTTGTTTATCGTTAGTCTTATTTTCTCCCTNGAATTGACCAGAAGTATTTCTGGGTCTGGGTTTGAACAATATATCACAAGCAGAAATAAACAGAGTTACCTTTAAACTACGAGACTGTAAAGACGACCTGAAACTTATATAATATGACGATTCCAAGGTTGAATTAATTGTCTTCTGCCTTTGCAAAGAAAGAAACAAGTTTATGTTTAAGAAAAAAGTATAAACTCTGTACAGTCGTCTATGAAGTCTTATTCTTTGTGGTTAACCCTAGTAATACTATGAACCTTCCTTTCTTACTTAATATTCAAGAGAAGTTTTGGTTCATTTTCTACCTACAGTCATCCTACAAACTACAGTCTGACACACTCAGTATTCCCCAAAATCTCCTCCCCCCCCCCCCCCTCCCTCAAAAATCCTTAAAAATTGACAGAGTTAAACAAATTTAGCGGATAATGGTTTAAAAAAAGGCAAAAATGACGCGGAAAACAGTGTAATATCTGGCCCATTAAATTATTTTTAAATGCTAAAATTTGAGCAAGTTTTACCCTATTGCGTCTTTAAGAATGTGTAGAACATCTAGGAATTTTTCAGGTGCACCCTTAAACCAAACCCTTCAGTATTTCTAGAGTTTTTTAAAAGCCCACTTGCCCAGAAGAGATAAGCTACAAATCTGAAAATTTAACGAACAAAAGCAAGAGAAGTCTATTTTTAAAAATAAATAAATTTAAATTTTAGAAGTCATTTAGACTAATTTCTATGTTTTTTTTGGTTTAGGATAGTAAATAATGTTAATGCTAAAGCAAAAAAACATAAAAATTAGTCTAAATGACTAATAAAATCTAAATTTAAAATCCAATCTTAGGCGTTTAAAGATTAAACTCAACTTTAATGAATATACTGAGTTTCCTGACATGAAACCAAACTTTCCTTTTACTGCATTGAACAGTGAACTAAAGACCTTGAATTGCCAATTTATAAATTCAGTAATTTGCACAGTTTTATAATAAATGAAGTTCTATGATAGGTCTAGCTTTATACTAAATCAAGCTTTATATACTAAGTCAAGCTATATGATAAGATAAATTTTATGATAAATAAATTATTTTTATAAATTCCGTTTTTGATATCTATATATAAATTTGGCTTGTCTGTCTGTCTGTTTGTTTGTATGTTTGTATCCAATAAACGTCAAAACGGCTGAACCGATCGGGCCCAAATTTTTTGTGGGACATCTAGGGACCCCAGGGAAGGTTTATGAAAAATCAAAATTGCAAATATTTGTCTCTATCAAAATTCGATCGTCATTAAATTTTTAAAAATTTTGAAAATCCGCGAACTTTTTTGTGAAAATCCGCGAATTATTTTTGTTTTGTTTTACGATGTACACAAAGAGAACATGTTCACAACTAATTTAGAAGATGGGTGCGAAGCGTCCTCTAAGGCTAGAAAGAAGGGCGCGAAGCGCCTTGAATTTCTAGTATGATATAAGTAGTAAGTAAGTAATTTTGAAAAAGTGAGTATTTAAAACCTTCATAAAATAAGGTTGTGGAAATATTTCCCCCTTATTTTTAAAAGAAGAAAGTGTTTGTTACGTTTTGAATTAATTGGTGGTGGATTGTTAGTTTTTTAGACAACGAACATCACAGTTCACAGATATAATAATTGTAGCTAGCTGTATACTAATATGGATAAGGTGGTTTTTAAAGGTGTGTGAAAAAAGTATTGTAGCAAAATAGGCATTTGAAGCATATTTTTAATTCGTTTTAATCAATTTTTATAGGCTACTAGCTGAAGAGCCCGGCATTGCCCGTGAACAAAAAAATTGAAAAAAAATATTTGGATAACCACAAAAAAAATCAGCCCAATCGGTCCAGCCGTTTGGCCGGCTATAGAAAACATATATATAAACTTATATATTTTATTATATAGATAAAGCTTTAACTAACTATTCATAAAATCAAGGTTTAGAAAAATCAAGGAAATTTTGATACATCTTTTCTTATAAAGTTTCTTGATAAAAACATGGTATGCCGCTGCCGTTAATACATGAAATATTATAATATTTTGTGAAAACTGCTTACTTTAATAAACAAAGAACCTTCAATATTGACATTTATAAAAAGCACGATTTTCTCTTTCAAATATTAAACGGATTTTGTGAAGTTGTAAAGTTGAAAAATATTTCTCAATTTAATAACTTTTTTACTATTTATTTACAACTACTTTACAGGAAATATTACTTTACCAAGGGTTCCCAAGACCAATTTTGACTACAAAGCAGTGCAGCGAGGAATGTTTTGTAGGCAAAATTGGTCGAGGGAACCTGTGGTTAAGTTTTAACTATTAATTACTACTTAACCGGGAGATTAAGGGAGGATAATTAAATTGAGGGGAAAACCACTTAGCCGAGGGCCTCCAAGACCTTTTTGGGGTTCTAAACCTCACGAGCGTAGCGTAGTGGATACAAATTGATTGAGAGAGCGATAAATGTAAAAATAAAATTAAATTAGAGAACTATTTATTTGATAAATCTGTATGGATCACAGGGAGGATAATTACTTATCCTCCCTGTAAAGAGGGAGGATAAGTAATTATCCTCCCTGTAAATAGGGAGGATAAGTAATTATCCTCCCTGGAAATAAAAAAGGAGGGAATTTAAGGTTGGTTATTTCGTTGAACAGGAGATTAAATTTTTAATTTTCCGAAAAGTAGTTGTACACAATTTTATCGTCTTTTGAGATGCGCAAATGCGCGGATTTTTTCACGAAAACTTCGCAGAGCGGGTCGTTATTTTACTTAATTGTCCCAAGGGACTGTTGGGGGAATCATAGGTCGGTAATGTTGGTCAAAAGGCGGTAACAATAGTTAATTTTTCGAAAAAGTATAAGTTGAACACAATTTTAGCGTTTTTAGAGATGAAAATACGCAAATGTTTACAAACAAATTTAGCAGAGTAGTTGGTTATTTTACTTAATTGTCCTAAGGGACGTAAAGCAACTTAACGCCCCTCTTTATTAGGAGAATCATAGTATAAACTTAATAGAAACTCATGTATAAAGAACTGAATAAAGGCAACTTTACAAAGAGAAACTCAATATAACAAGCCAGATGGAATCGATTAAAGCACTAACTTTGCACAGACATTTATTTTACATTATTATTAAAATACAAACTGAGGATCAACCGAAGTCAATCCTGGAATCATAGATGGATCTAATTCTCCTCTCGGAGCTACTGGAGCTGTGATCGACCGCTCTCTTCTCCTCCTTCATCAAGACTAACCCTTTTCTCGGGGACAAAATGGACGTTCAGATTGCTTTCTCTTCCGACGAAAGCACCGTTATCCGTGTTCCCCTGATAAGGATTCCCAGGATTTGAACCTTGCTACCCTGGAAATTTCCTCTGGCCGTTGATACCAGCTCCAGTAGTAACGGGTTAAATACAATCAATACTATTTGTTTGTCCAGTTACTCAACTCATGATACAATTTAGCTTGGGTTGAATGAACTAGCTGAGTGGGTTTACAATAGGTCATTAATGTTGGTGAAAAGGCTGTAAAATTTGTTAGATTTTTATTTCTCTATAACTTTTTATCAAACGAAAAAATAATGTGAACAAATGACATTTCTTTGACAAATTTGTAAGTAAAATGTCAACAAAATATCAAACATTCTAAATTCTAATAATCTATCCATTCTAAAGGTCTGTTAAATCCTAGTCATCTATCCATTACGTCTATATTATTTAAACAAATGTTGGGCCTGTCAGCAGCTCTTTGTCGACTATTAGATTCAAGTTTATTTTAGTTTGAAATCTTGCATCTGCAGTTTGGTTAAAAAGCTAATATTTATAAGTTTGCATTTCTTACTTTTGGTTGTAAAACTGAAAAGTACGATGTTGCAAAGTCCTGTCGACAGTAATTCCGCTCAAAATAATCCTGCTTTTTGTTTCAGACAGAGTATAAAGCAGGAGCCTGTCCAGATGAATGGTCTTGAGAAGGTTGAAACTGTTGAAGTAGAAGTTGATCCTCAACCTTCAAATATACCTAGACCACCTACACCACCTCCAATGCCCAACCTAGAGTTCGAAAATCTTCTAGGTAATTCCTTTGGTTCAACATATTCATAGTAAACTTATAGACCACGTGGTCATTTAACAATTTGACAAATTAAACAAAAAAGAAATTGAGTTTTTGTCACAAACTCTGATTTTCAATCTCAATATCTTTGCAATCCACTGTCGTAAATCAGTATTAAAAAATCAAATTCAAAGTAATTGAGTCTTTGGCACAGGCTTAAATTTGCTAATCCCTATATCTATGCAACCTTGTGGTGTAAAACTTTATATTTCAAATTCAGATTATTTTTGATCTAACAGAATTCTTAGTTTGAATATATCTAAGCTCTACAACATTGGGTTGCAAAGATAAAGGGATTAGAAAATCTGAGTTTGTGGCAAATACTCATTTTGTTTGCCCAGGACCTGATGTGACCGGTCCGTTTGACCGGCCAAAGTTCTCAGCTCCGATCTGGCTGGATGAAATACAAAACAACAAAATATTCAACAAACAACGGAATCTCCTGGGAACGGTAAACAGGGTCAATATAAATATTAAATGAAAACATGGCTTAAACCAATCTACGCATCTGAAAGAGAATGAAAACGTAATTTCAACAAGTGACCCCCTCCGACCCTTCACTTATAAATATCAATGGCACAGTGTCCCGTGTCCGGTGTTCAACGGTACCCTAAACGCTTTGTGTGATTAAAAAAATATATCCATGTTTTTCTTCCTGAAAATTGTATTTTTTCAACTGAGGTTTTTCTTTAAAAGTAACTTAAGAATTATTGTGACAAACTCAAATAATGAAGAAAACTCGCAGAATTGTTTGACTCGGTGTCGGAACTGTATGTAATCTTTACAGTTGAATTTAATGAGCAAAAAATAGCAGATTTCTAAAATATTTTTTACTTTTATTCCCAACAATAATATTGATTTTTAAATGTTGATAGATATGCAGCAATGGATTAAGCAATAACAATAAAAATGTTAATTTTAAAACTAAAACTAAGTATTAACATTATTTGGATCCAAACTAACCAACAAGTATTAACAAACTAACCAACAAGTATTAACAAACTAACCAACAAGTATTAACAAACTAACCAACAAGTATTAATAAACTAACCGACAACCAAGACAAAAAAAAAACCTATATTTTGTATTGAAGGTTGAAGGTCAGTGTACCGTTGTTCTAGACGATATGACACCAAGGGAGAGCTCAAAAACAGAATCAGATCAGGTACAATGAGAACCAGAAAACTATGGGATCGGCGTCTTCGGTTGTCTTTTGATCAAGTTGCCATGATTCAACTTTCTCTACGCGGTTAATTCAACTACTACTCGCATTTTAGTAAATTCGGGCCCTGAGTACTATAGAGATTTACCAGTAAAAGAAACAGCAAAGACGACATTCATAGAACCACTGAAGGATTTGCAAGAAAAATATCAAAATGAAAAACATTACATTCTTTATTTTATAGGAATCCACAACTTCGGTCTAGTACACCTAGAGTTAACCTTTTTATTCTAAAAGAAAAAGGTAATAGAAAGAAAATAGTAGCGAGTGATGGACAATAATTCTTGATTTTTTTTCTAAAACTTTAAAGTTTGTTGAATTTACATTAGGTCTACAATTTTAAATTTTTTTTTTTTAAAGAATACAATTGGCTTTATCTACAAATTATAAAAGTTATTACTCATTATACTTGACAAAGAAAAACTTTTTTTAAATTTAAAATTAATTTTTTTTTCAGGTGTTTCGACCGGAAGTTTAGAACCAAATCAAAAGAGAATGAATTTATCGTTATTAACCGATAGATAGATCGCAGGAAACATGTTTTTTTTCTTTTTCAAAATATTTACTATTTTCAGTTTAAAAAGATTGTAAATCTAATTTTAAGTATAAGTAGAGCCATAAACTATTAATTACTATTAAAAAAGGCTCAGTAAGGGAGGACGCTCTAGTTTGTTAGCCATATTGATCTCATTTCATTTTTACAGTTAACATATTTCAACCCCGTGTTAGATTCATATGCGATGATATGCCATTAAACATTTCTTCGAGATTTTTTTTACAAAGCAATTTGGTTTTATTTTTAAGGGCAAAAAAACAATATTTTTCCTTTTTTAGGCATAAATTGACAAATACAGAGTAAAGGGGAATTAATTATGATTTTGTTTCCGTAAAAGTATGTTTACAATTTCTTAAAACTGAAAAATTTATTTTCACGCGAAAGCCTAATGCTAAATAATGCATACTTACACACGCTTTCTATCAATTTCACAACTAATGCAAGCTAAAAAAATAGTCAAATAAATTTCAATCATAAAAAATATTAATTTTAAAATTCACTTAACCGTGTTTTACTAAAAGTTAGAAGGTTGTTTTAATTTGAACTTTTTCCCATTTTAAAGTAAAAGTGCCGGATTTACGTTAAATCCATTTCAACAATAGTCTAAACAAAACCTTACGCACAGTTAGACCCAGAAAACTGTAGAATAGAAAGACGACATTAAAGCAATAATAATGTGTATTTGATGTTGATACAAAGCAGATAGTTTTACAAGCAATTTATTTAATCACACTTATTAATGAAATATTTACATCACAAAGTTGCTGTGGCTCATGTTCAGTGGACTATTTACAGTCATAACTTGAGTCTAAAAGTCGTCTTTCTATTTTAATATTTTTTGGTTTTCACTGTAATTTATTTCAAAACTGCCTTTACATGTTGCTACTGCATGTGCCATTAAAAACCGTAAGCTGCCGAACTGTGTGTAGCTTCATATATAGAATGTTTATATGATGTGTGTTGTGTATAATACATACAAGTCAAACGGAAATTACGAAAATGTTTGAATAAAAACATTCATATTTTTTCCCAAAACTTTCGCACTAATCTAGAGAAATTTATATATATAAAAATTTGTTTTTTTTTCAAAATGATCAAAATCATAATTTAATAAATATGAATATTAATTTTTTTAACCCATCTCTAAATTTGTAAACAAAATTGTGTGAACTGTAAAGTAGAAAAAACATATCTCCTAGTCCTATCCTTTAAAACCATCATAACACGTCAAAAATTCTTATAAATTTAGGGAAAAGGGACATTTTCTAAAAGTATACAATATTCTACGGTGATTTAAACGATTGATAAACAAATTTGACGTCGTCTTTGAAATTTGAATATGACCATTGTTAAATTACGCTTCATGTTTTTACTTTGTGCGTAAACTAAATTATATCAAAGCAGGGAAATTCACAAATCGTGCCAATATTAGATTGTCCCTTTTCTTTTTATAAATTTTATGTAGTTTAAAGGGACTTTAACCGTAACTTCGATCTAGGGACTCTTCATTCAAAGTAACCTTGACACCTTAATCTGAACTTAGATGTGGAATATAATGCTGTTTTTCTTAAAGGGAGTGATCGCTACTAATTATACTTTCATCTGTTGCTTCTGTAAGGAGAACACTCCCTTTAATCTGAACTAAGATGTGGAATATATCGCTGTTTTCCTTGATTAAAGAGTGTTCAACTCTGATAAATTCTCAATTGCTTCTTATCAAATCAGACAAGCAAGAAATTCGCAGAAAATACACAAATATAAAAAAACAGTTTAAATGAACAAAAATATTTAAACTTGATCAGATAAAGCTTTAAAGGGTACCGTTGTAAATTGTACATCATGTCATCTTTGTATTGATGGTCAGTTGAAATTATGCTTATAATCCCTTTAAATGTTATTGTGAACTAAATATTAAACCATGATATGAAGATATTTAGAAATTTGTTAAGTTTGCTGATTGCTGAAATAAATTATACATTTTTGAAATTATTTTAAAAATATTGGAAAGTGGATTCGTACTATATACAAACGTAACTAGGCTTGAAGAACGATATATGTACCTTTTGTTAATTTTTAAGGTTTCGTTTCTCATTAAACAAAAAATTTAAGATTTGTTTGTTATGTTTTGGATTTCCAAAATTTATTCAGTCAATGTATTTTTTTCTGCCCTGAATCCTAACCAAAAAAATATTAACCGTTTTTATATTTATTGGATAAATTAAACAAACCGACTACTTGTTTTTAAAAGTAGAATAAAGTAAAATATAAGAACAATCTTTATTTATTTTTAAGTATGAATGGATCATGTTATAACTTTGATATTTTTGCCTAATTATAGTTTTAAAAATCCTCGAAGAAAGATATGCTAGGAACCCCCAGGTATTGCTCTAGAAAAACTGCACTTTCTATGAGAAATGTAAAATAACTTAATTTAGGTTATCGTCAATAATACGTATTTCTGCTAAAGGAACCATTTAGGAAATCAACCGAATTGAACTCTTTCAATTGATCAGATAAAAGGTTTACAGGGTAGCATTCTGAATGGAGGGTTTTACTTGCATTTTTAACTTTTAACTTTGAACCTTGATTGTTTAGAGTGGCAGAAAACCAAGCTTGTGAGGAAAAATGAATTCCCTCTTCCATCAGTCTTCTTAATCTCAAACATTGTCATGGCTACCCTATGAACCCTATTACCCTAGATCTTTACGCCGTGATGTGATATTTACAAAAACCGGTTTGCGATATTAAATCGCGCAACTTTGATAGATAGATAGAAACATTAACCGCGTATACTGTTACGCAAAGGCAATCGGTTTTCCTTAAACAACTCAGTGCAAAACTATACACCAGGCAAGCAGTGTACATGGGCGTGCCATTGAAATTAAATATAAGAATTATGTTCATCAACAATTAGAGTGAGACTGAAAAATATGGAATAGAAAGACGATATATAAGCAATCGTATGAGTAGTAATACTGTCTTATATTTTTATTGGACTAACTATTTAAAGTCTAAACTTAGATGGTATGATGTCTATTCTACAGTTCAAGGGTCTCATTGTAATTTATATAGTTTTATACTGCATGCAAAATGTCAATTCTCACTGAAGATTTTGGTTTTTTTCACTACTTTACTCGCTTACAGCTTAAATCTTATTTCTAGAAATTGTTTAACGTGTAATAAAAGACATGAAAAACCTCGTGGAGGATAGAATTTTAAAACATAACAGATTTTTCCAATTAACAGTCAAGAAAACTTGAATGTTTTAAAGTGGATCCGATTGGATAAAAAACAAATCTTTTAATTCTAGTTATTATGTATTAAAACAAGGATATTAAATAAAAATGAAAAAATGAAAAAAATAACTTATGATAAAAAATCGCGTTTTTTTCTGTTTGCTGTAATTTAATATTTGGAAATTTGATTTTTTTGGCGTTTTTGTTTTTTATATGTATTAGAAAATCTATTTTGTATAATTGTAGCAAATAGTGTAGCAAACCCTATATTTGTACAAACCTAGATATATACGTTGTACATTGTCTGTGAATCTAAATGGGCTTGTAAATAGCTACACAAAACTTGTATTGCAATTAACCTAACCTAGCTACGTGTGTGAATAACTACGTCAAACCTGTATTGTGATAAAGTTGTTTCCGGATTGATATTGATAGTAAAGTATTGATACAGATAAAGTTGTTTCCGGATTGATATTGACAGTAAAGTATTGATACAGATAAAGTAGTTTCCGGATTTATATTGATAGTAAAGTATTGATACACATAAAGTTGTTTCCGGATTGATATTGATAGTAAAGTATTGATACAGATAAAGTTGTTTCCGGATTTACATACCCAAAGCCCTCCCTTTAGGCCTAAAACCGGGCTTTAATACTAACTGCCTGAGTCCTCAGGCACACTGCCTGAATGATTGCTTTTTCGTGTAACAAACTAAATCTTTGTTTTGACCCACTTTCACTTGTCAGATTTTGATAAAATTTAGCTTTTTCGGAAAGCCTTTGAAATAAGGAAAGGAATTGCACACGTTTTGCGAAAAAATTGCAAATATTTTGCAAACAACCTGTCAAAGGAAATTTGCACATTTTTAGTTTTTCTTGATTAAAAATCAGGTTATTTAAAATTTTGCAAATATTTTTGCATATTTGAAATGGCATGGTCAAGGGCTTTTTAAAAATGTATGATTTTTCATCTTTTTGACAATTTTTTTTGCAAACATATTTGCTATATAACTGGATTTTGCGATAAAAAATTCAATTTTTGCAAATTTCCAATTTTTTTTGCAGATTCTAAAAGTAGAGCACAAGAACTTTCCAATGATGTATCATTTGTCATATTTGGACATCAAATATGGGATTTAGAGGGGGGGGACCCAGCATATCCTGGTTTTCAAGTACCCCAGCTGAGATAGGGTTAATTGCTATTGAAATTAAAAATTTCAAAACAAATATTTTCCTTTTTTTTAGAGAGAAAAAATGGCAAAGTATGTAATGAAAAGCGTTGAAGAGGAGGTTTGTTGAAATTTTAATAAATTTCTTAAAATTTGTCAACAAACAACTGTTCGATCAAATTTAATATGAAAAAAAAATATTTATTTTTAGAGCATAAATTTACGCGGACTTTTAAAAAATGTTTATTATGAAACAAAATACCATATTGCTGTTTTTATTTTTCTTTACAAAATTCCAACATTTTTAAAATCAATTTTATTTTATAACATAATACCATGTTAACGTTTTATTTTGTTGTAGATAACGAATACCAATCCTGAGGAAATTTTAGTTATAGGTAATATGTTCCATAGGAAGAAAGAGGAGTATATAGCCCCAATTTGTAAATTTCCAATCCCATCTATATATAAATTTAGCTTGTCTGTGTGGGTGTTTGTTTGTTTGTATCCAATAAACGTGAAAACGGATGTCGGCTGAACTGATCGGGCCCAATTTTTTGTGGGACCTCGCGTGACCCCAGGGAAGGTTTATGGATGATCTAGTTTTCAAACATTTTCCGCTAATAAAATTCGGTTTTTGAAAATTTTTAAAATCCACGAATTTCTTTATAAAACCCGCAAACGTTTAGTTTTGTTTTTGTTTGACAATGTATAGAAAGAAAACATGTTCACAAATTCAACATAAGATGGGCGCATAGCACAATCTAAAACAACCTTCGATATAACTAAATCTTCAAATAACAATATTTATAAGTTGACAAAGGATTAAGGTGTAAGGAATACAATTAAATGTTTACTGCTCAAGTTCTACAGCTATGGAGCGGGATATATCAATCATTATTAGCATATTTTCGTGAAAACACAAATCTTAGAAAAGGTTTTAAATGATGCCATTTAAAAATATTGGAATATTGGGTATTTTTAAGTAACCCCCCATTTAAAGAGTTAGATAGAAACCAAAATTATCATTTTAATATATTGCAATATAATGAGACGTCTCTCGATTTAAATTTTTATTTTTATACAGTATCGACAAATATGAACACAAGGAGAAAATTCAATTAACAGCTCCTCCTTTTTAACTTATAAACTTTTTAGTTGAAAAAAAATTAAAAAAAAGTCGTCTTCATTGTACTGATATAAAGGACGACTACTGTATCTAATAAACTTAATTCCAGGGGCCGGTTTACCTAGAACAGGCACGTTGTCGTTGAAGACTGCATTGATGAAGCTCTACAAGGGCAAGTGCTACAACATGAAGGAGGTTTTCGAAGGGGATCAGGTTAAAAACAGTTTTATCATAAAAACAAGCAAATAAAAAGTTTTTTTAGCACACTGCAATCACTAGTCAAACATTTTCTTGTCTGGTATTATTTTTAAACAGTAAATTTTTTTGCTAAATAGTTGAAAAATCAATCTATTTTTTACACTAAGTAATGTTGATTTCTTCTTCGTGAAAAGAAAATTTTGACAGTGCAGTATTTATTTTAAATGTGTAAACAAAGTCTAAAAACATTTTAACTGAACAAATAATAGTTTTTGTTTCGTACGTAGGAAGATTTGGATATTTGGATGAATGGTATTAAGAAGAAAAATACTCCAGCTGACTGGAGGCAGTACTTTAAGAAAAAGGTATTATTTTAATTGAACGATAAAATCTTAACAATATTAAGTTTTTAAAAAGAGGATATGCTTGTAAAAACTGCTAAAATTCGTCAATTTCTAATTTATTGCTTGGTAAATTTTGTACTTGTTTTTAATGAACGACAAGTTCTTAATTTTTTTATGATTTGGCCACGAGCTTAGTACATGCTGTACACAACAATTCAATATTAAGGTAATTTCCTAGAGAACGATTTTTGTACCTCCCCCTCCCCCTCCCCTCCTATCAATTTTGTACATGGATCTAATATATAACACATATTATTGGACATGTGGCCGCAGCGCCCGACCCTCTAGTATTTAGGGTTATGTAGCTGGTGTTGATTACCCCTACTCCTTGTTCTGGAAGGAGATTGCCGACGCCTATCCAAACGCTAAGGTATACCATGCATTCAACATACAACTACGCAATGCTTAACTGCATGACTGAATAAAGTAAAAAAGTAAGCATGAACATCATCATCATCATCACCACAATAAAATATAATTTTTGGTTGTCATGTTAAACAGTTTATTATTTATTCATAGAACGGGACCGACCTCCTGGCAACTAAAACAATTTTTACAGTATACACATAACCGTTGTACATTTGAATATCCGAGGTGGGGCAACCTTTGCGGTCCTAGTTTAGACTGTACCGCCAATTTACAATTGGCAACAAAGCAATTTTCACAGTATATACACATAACATGCTGACTATAAAGGCATGGGACAATTTACAGTTCTATTAATGTGTTATTATTATCAGGTTGTGTTGTCGAGTAGAGAGCCAAGAACCTGGTATAAATCTGTTGTTGAATCCATCTGGTTGTTTAATGAGCTAGCCAGGAAATCATGGACTTTCAGGATCATGCTCAAGATGTTTGATCCAAGGAAGGGATCAGGTCAGCATTTTTTATCATAACGGAATCATTGAAGTTTGTTTGGTTCTAGGAAAGGAAAAGGAGAGAGTTATGATGCTAAGTAGAGTTTAAGGGAGTTTGTTCGATTCTATGAAGGCATAGAGGTAGTTTTGGCTGGGCGCCATTAACGGGGAACGGCTGGTTTTTATTAAAAAACTGGATTTTCCATTTTTTGCAGAGGATTGGATAGAGTTGATGATGAACAATTATATCTTTAATATTTGCAGAGGATTGGATAAAGTTGATGATGAACAATTATACCTTTAATATTTGCAGAGGATTGGATAGAGTTGATGATGAACAATTATATCTTTAATATTTGCAGAGGATTGGATAGAGTTGATGATGAACAATTATACCTTTAATATTTGCAGAGGATTGGATAGAGTTGATGATGAACAATTATACCTTTCATATTTGCAGAGGATTGGATAGAGTTGATGATGAACAATTATACCTTTCATATTTGCAGAGGATTGGATAGAGTTGATGATGACCCACAAGGGCTACGGGATGAAGAGGGGTATGGGAGAGGCTATTGAAGGTGGAGAAGAAACAGCGGAGAAATATTTTCTAGGTAAATTATTCTTTCTTTTAAGGTTAAGGTCAAAGAAAAACTATTACCCCTCCAAGATGTCGTATTTGTTTACCATACAGCTGTATTTTGAAATTATGTCTATGGAGGTAAATTTTTTCAAGTTATAAAATTGCAGTACACTTTTTTTATAAAACCATAAGAGACTAATTTTGGATATACTGTCTTAACTTTTGTCTTTTTGTAAAACACTTTATGGTTTGCAACAACATGGGAATAGCAAAAGCAATTCTAGAGAAATTTGTATTTTCATATGATTTAAAAATGAAATTAACGTGATTTTTTTTCATTCTTTTAATATGACAAAATTAGTATCAATTTACAAATTTTCATTTCATGTTTGTTATGTATGTTAGGCTTAAATTTGTCTTCAATTTTATTTTAATGCTTTTTGTATCACCAAAACATTCTTAAAGATGTTTTATTTAAGAATGTTTAAAATGTTTTGTTTAAGAATGTTTAAGATGTTTTATAAGAATTTTTCAGATGTTTTATTTAAGAATGTTTAAGATGTTTTATTTAAGAATGTTTAAGATGTTTTATTTAAGAATGTTTATGATGTTTTATTTAAAGAATGTTTAAGATGTTTTATTTAAGAATGTTTAAGATGTTTTATTTAAGAATGTTTATGATGTTTTATTTAAGAATGTTTAAGATGTTTTATTTAAGAATGTTTAAGACTATTTTTCTCTTTTTTTTTGTTTTCTTACTAACTACGCCATTTTCAAGACGACATTTACTTCCTTATGTTTTTTGTTTCGCTTATCTAATTCATTTTTAAAGGGTTACCTGAAATGAAAGAACTTCAGAGACGAGTGTACTTTTTTTTTGCATTCTTGGTTGCAGCTGTGCTTTGTGCAATGTGCACATTATACAATATATCCACATGTTTATTTTTTTTTGACAAAAATACTATTTATAATGGGTAACTCTGTATTGAATAAATATCTAACAAATTTAATGAAAAGTTTTTTTTCTAGAATGGGAAGACAGTGTTAAAGCAACAATTCCCTCTGGTAATGAGTTGTAATATCTAATTAATAAATAAAAATAAAATAGTAAATTTCACAAATAAGTAATTCAAAGATTAATTATTATACTAATCAAATATCTAAAGAATCCACGAATATGACCAAAATAAACAAAATAATCAGATAGTTAAGCCTCGGCTGCATTAATAATTAACAAGTACGTATTCATAATTATTGAGTCCATGATTTTTTGACTGCACATTTTTTTTAAGAAAAAAAATATTGTTTTTGACTGACTTATTTGAATTAAGTTTTACCTATTTCTAATATCAAAGTCTAACAGATAGGCTACTTGTACACAAGGCAGTGGATGGATGGGAACCTCTTTGCTTATTTTTAGGTAAATTTTTTGTTTAATTTAAAATTTTTTGTTTTTTTTTTATCAAATAAGAATTTTTCAAGGAGTTGATGTTCCTACAGTCCCCTATCCTAGGGTTAATGATACAGCAGCAATACAGCAGGTTAAATTAGATTAATTATTTCATTTCTTGGTCATTCAGTAAACCACCAAAATACTTAATTGAATGCAGAAACCCATAGAGAATATAATATATAGAGAGGAATTAAAAGAATCTCTCGGTATGAATTTTTTCAGTCCCTTTCAGCCTGAAAGGGAGTTCAAAGTGTACAAATCATGTAAATGTTCACAAATTATATGCAGTAGAGTACATTAATACAGTATGTTCCCTAGACTATTCATTTCAATTTCGAATTTTTTAAACTGTTAAATAAACTTTATAATGAATTAGGTGAATAAAAACATCATTTGATTTATAGTTATAACGGAAAATCATCGTTTGTAAAGTGGAAGGCATAGAGTCTATTTGAAATGATCATTGGTCAATTATAAGACCAGCCTATTTCATAATTTGGTTTTCTTTTAACAATAGTTTCAGATTTTCTATAAAATGATATTCCAGGGCCCAACAGGTTATATAGCATAAATATGTGAAGTACACCTGCAGTATGGAAACAGTACAACAAAATGGCCATTTTACACTTTTTTCCAGTAAATTCCTCTCTATATATTCTATTCTCTATGGCAGAAACCACATTTTAAGCTTTAAATCTTCATATCTTCGTCTTTTCAGTCTCATCCTTTGTGAGTAACCCTGTAGCTTATACAGGCAAATTAAAGTGTATACTTCAGTATGGCTGTGCATATATGCTGCACTACAAATGAAGGGTCAAGTCTATGCTCTACACTTCCTGTAATAAATGATGGCAATTACTAAAATTTTAAATTATTTAAATGTTCGTTTTGCTTAAATGCTATTTAAATTTAAACGAATCAAAAACAAACTATAAAACTATCGTATTTTTAGCTTTTCTCCCTAATTTTTTATAAATTTTGCATTGTTCAGTATAGCACATTTTTACAGAATACAATTTTTGTACAAAATTATTTTTATGCCAAACAATAAAAGGTCGTAAAAACAATTATACCCCATCACTCGTTTATTCAATTTATGCTATCGCTTTCAACATCTGTCAAAAAAGTTTATCTGTAAATCATTGACATTAAAACTTGGGAATAGTAAGACGGCTGTTAGACTCTAATTTATGGCTCGAAAAGTCGTCTTCATGGTTTTCGATTTTTTCAGTCTTTCTATAGATTAAAAGCTTTTAATTTATATTATATCAAAATGAACGGAATCCAGTGGTTCAAAGAAAATTCTGATAAAATTAAAAAATTGAGATCTCTGTTCTGAATGAGTTTTTTTGATGAAATTGTTTCACTCGTATCCATGTAGGAGGTGAAGAACCTGAAGATGATGAACTACTGCCTGTTCTACGGACTTCCAGGCCTTCTACTCCTTCTAGGCCTTCTAATCTTCAAGGTCGAGTATTTTAACAACAAAAAATATGAAGTAAAATAGTTGTCCTCGTTTTTATGGGGTTCAGGACTTATTGTTACATCATCAGTGGGACTAGTCATGTAATTCGTTTCCCAGCCTTTTAAAGTTTTATAGGACACCACGTGACCACACTCATACTGTGAATTTCCAATATTTTCACAGTATATCATTTTAAAAGTTTGCTTTAACAACTTCTCGAGAAAATCATTGGTTTGTTCCAACTTCAAGCATTCGCACATAGATTCAGTCTGCAAACTTTTAAATAGTCTTATCAATTTAAGAAAAAAAATGGAATAGTGTAGCAACGCCTTGGGGTTGGATTTTACCGTTCTATGCATGGTTTTCTGTAGCCCTTAACATGTACATGTACATGTACATGTACATGTACATGTACATGTATAGCGTACACCCTTTAAATAACAGTGCATAGGATTGCCAGCATTTACATGTTTTATTCCACAACTTAAAAGTCCCACTGTACTTAGTACGTTCTAGCTCAAATTTAAAAAATGGTTCAATTAATTGAGATATTAAGAATTTGTAATAATACACAGATTACTAAAAAAGTGACTAAACTGTTTATTTAGATAATGGCCTGATTTCTGAGTTCAAGACAGATTTCTTGTTTACTGAAAATGTGATAATCATTTTAAGTGAAGAAAGAACTTAACTTTATGATTTTGAAGTATGTTAAAAAGAAAACTATTTTAAAATTTAACGAAATAAATAATTTGCATTTTTTTGTCGATAATTACATCTGTAGTACGAAGAAACCAACAAATATGTTATCATTAATTTTAGAATATAAAATGGCCGGATAATAGCAATTAAAATATCGAAATCTTGTCGCTATTTGGCCAATTAATAACGCAATTAGACTTATATTTGGCCAATTAATAACGCAATTAGACTTATATTTGGCCAATTAATAACGCAATTAGACTTATATTTTTGTTTACGATGCTTTTTGGAACAAGTTAATTATAATCTTTTAAACCTGAGATTTTATAAATATTTTTTGCTTTTAATATGCTGTCAAACTTACCGTACAGAAAACAATAAAATATCATTCAGAAATAAATTTATTGAAACATAAAATCATAAATATGATAAATATGATTGAATAAAAAAAATAATAAACCATTTTGAAAATGTTGGGACCAAATATTGTGATTTTTTAAAAAAATTTTCTTGTAAAATTAGACCTACACCTCTGTGAACTCTACAGACAAAGAATACTATCTTGCTAAAACATTTATTTATCCAACTGTCAAAACAAATATTTAATTAAAAATTATTTTTAAGATGTTAAAATGGTTTGTTAACTTAGCACCGACACTCAAGGCGCTGCGCAGAAACGTACTTGTGGACATCTGCGCAGAAGTAATAACTGTACTGCACAGACTATAAATATGACATTGTACAGCAAAAAGAATTTTTCAGCGGTCAGAATATTTAAGAATTAATAATTTAATTGACAATTTCTCATTGTAAATGTACAGTTATCAAAAATCTTTACACAGTTGATAAATTTTGATTTAACCTTAATATACGCACAGTGCAGTACAGTACAGTATTAAGCGGATGAATAATATCTTTGTGGCCAAAAGACCAAACGTTTGGCACTGAAATCACAATTGTCATCGCAGTTAACGTACAATACAAATTAACCACACAGATTTAGCGAGACGTTTAATGTGACCTTGTATGTTAAATTGTTAGCTATAAAATGTGTGCATATAAACAGGGGAGCCTATAAAAAATGAAAACATTATGATGTTATGTTTTGTCTCCTCATATATACTTAATTTTGAAGATTATAATGAAGGTATAGATAGTAAAAATCTATCCTATCGCCACAATATTTAATCAGATTTTAATAAATATTTTCTTTAGATTATGTACAATATGCTCTTTTATATAAATGTTTTATCTCTAAATATTTGCTTTTAAGCTGAGAAATTTGTTGAGATTGCGCGGTTTAAAGGGCTAAAAAAGGACTAAAGGCTGGGTTAAGCCGAGGACCAAGGCCAGGAGGCAAAGGCAGTAGAGTTGAGGTTCTTAGAGTACCACATGGTGGAGAATGGAGGACCTCTTAAATGTGTTTGTGGCGGCCAAGAGTCTCCAAAAGGGATTGGTTTGAATGTTCCGCAGGGTCGTATTTTAGGCCCCTTGTTATTATTAAATGGAGTCCTCCAAAGGTTGTGTATTAGGTCCTCTGGTTTAGATTGGTCTAGAGGAGTCCTCCAAAGTTGTGTATTAGGTCCTCTGGTTTAGATTGGCCTAGAGGAGTCCTCCAAAGTTGTGTATTAGGTCCTCTGGTTTAGATTGGTCTAGAGAAGTTTGCTGGGAAAAGACCTTTTTGTCCAGTAGACTCCTTAACACCCATCAACCAGCCCTCCTCCTGCAGTACAATCAAAATTGTAAACAAGGTGTAAAACGTACATAATTTGTTAATAAAAAATAGATAAAATGTATAAAAGCTAGAACCACATGAACCAGCTTTAATTTAGCACATGGTCTAAACCTTAGTTACGATCAATATAGTCGATGATTCTTCATAAAAATTGTCATTGGCCTTTATTACACAAGATCCTAAGAAGGTTTCCAACCCGTTGAATGCCCCTTTTTTAAAAACCATTTTTGAGCTTTACAATAAACGGAAATTGAAAATTATCATAATTCAGAAAAAAAATTTACTGCTCTTTTTAAATTTTGTTTAAAAAAATTATTTTAAACGTAAATTATTAAAAAATATCTCCACTTTTGCCCCGACAAAAGCATAAAAGGTACAAAATTAGGCATGTAAAAATCTCTTTAATCATAAGACCAAGCCCAAAAATTTGATATCGAATCATGCTTTCTTTATCCTCAGTGTTTTATTAGCCTATGGTTTAACCTTATCCCTTTTTGCATTTTACACTTGCGAGCAAAAAATCATTTTATTAATATTATTAATATAGTGATATTGTTCTAATAGTTTTAAAAACGGAGTTTGTTAAGCTCTCGGTATTTATAGCTTTAATGACCTTGACATTATTTTTGATGTTTGACCTCTATATTAATACCTGTTCCTCTGGATCCTCGTATTCGACAACCTGGATGATCTCTCCGACCTCAAAATTTAATTCATCAACATCCTCCGCCTGGTATTTGTAGGCAGCCTTCACCTAGGGGGGTAATTTAGAGTTAAAGGGACTGTAAACGTAATTTAGAGTTAAAGGGACTGTAAACGTAATTTAGAGTTAAAGGGACTGTAAACGTAATTTAGAGTTAAAGGGACTGTAAACGTAATTTAGAGTTAAAGGGACTGTAAACGTAATTTAGAGTTAAAGGGACTGTAAACGTAATTTAGAGTTAAAGGGACTGTAAACGTAATTTAGAGTTAAAGGGACTGTAAACGTAATTTAGAGTTAAAGGGACTGTAAACGTAATTTAGAGTTAAAGGGACTGTAAACGTAATTTAGAGTTAAAGGGACTGTAAACGTAATTTAGAGTTAAANCCCCCCCACTGGACGACAATCCCTTTTAGCATGCTAATGGCTAGTTCTTTGTACTTAATATAAAAATGCAGATTTTTTTTAACCTATTTTTATCGTGTGTTCAAAAGGGTTCAAACATACTATCAGAAGGAAAATGTAAATATAAATTTGATTCAGAGCCAGAAAATGTTCAATTAAGCATTACTTAGTAGTAGGGAGGAATATTTTGGCACGAAAGTGACATAAGTTTAAAAACTTAAAACAGGGTCATGCCAAAAAGTCAGGGAGGAGGGGGGGGGGGGGTACTTTTCGAACTAAATAACAAAAAATCCTATTTTCAAATAATAAATTACGATTTTTTAAAAGGAGTGACCGGCTGTGTAAGGTAAGAACTGAGTATGCAGTGTATGGAAAACTTCTTTCGGATTCATTGAGACATATTAAACTTTTTAAAGATCTGTAAATCCTGAGTTTGAGCGCAAATTCGACGTTAAAAACTCCTACTTTGGGGGTGGATACGTTTTCAGAATTAGTTTTTAAATTATTAATTAACGACGACATAATATGTGTAAAAAGTTCTACAATAAACTACAGACGTCATGTATAGGAACATGTTGAGAAAATAAAAATTAATCTTATCATCGAAAATAAGTAATCTTGTTCAATTATTAGTTTCTATTTTCTCCTTATTCCCAAAGATTTTTGCAGATTTTCTAGAATTATTATTGAAAAGACGACATTTGAAGAATTTGAAGAAATCTCCGAATAAATTCAAAGAAGATAAGAAATTCAATATAATAATGAAAACGAAATAATCGATTTTAGCATTGATTTATTGACAAATTTCTTTTGAGAAATATGTTCATAACCATCTAATTAGATTATTGTATAATTTTAACTTTATTTTTCGTTGTCGTTATTTAGTAATTTAAAAAAACTAATTCTAAAAACGTATCCACCCCCAAAGCAGGAGTTTTGAACGTCGAATTTCCGCTCAAACCCAGGATTTACAGATCTTTAAAAGGTTTAATAGGTCTCAAATAAAAGAAGTTTTCCACAACACTGCATACTCAGTTCAACTACCTTACATAGCCGGTCACTCACTTTAAAGATAAAAATACGCACAAAGCTTTTAATGTGTTAGACCGCTATTCTAAGTTAACTAAATTAAAGCATAAAAATAATTTAAAAAGCTAGCATGCCCTGATATTTGAAAAATGCTTATTATAAGCCAACATTTATATAAGTTTCCATAAAGTTTCATTATTAAGCCTAAATCATGGTTTTGATAAAAAAAATCAAAATAATTTACCCATTTCCTTTTTAACATTAGTGTTACCTTATATAGAACTCCTGGGGGGAGATTATCTGTTGTAGCACCTAAAACAATGCCGGAATAATTTTTGAAAAAAAAACATGGGATAGNAAACTTTAAATCAAAATCAAGCCTAATGTTGATCAGTGACAAACAAACAAAAATGTGCAAAATCATTTTTCATCCACTACTGCGGGCCTCCTCTTTTTCGGCCATTTTCCATAAAAAAAAACATATGGGAAAGGCATTATAGGTGGGCAACAGGCAAATGTACTTTAACTGAAGATTTTAAATTTAAAAATCTAAAGAATCTTATTAAAGAGTTTTAAAATAAACCAGGTCTGTTCACAATTCTCTTTTATTGTTTTTGAACTTTAAGTAAGTATTTTTCACTTTTGTGGGCCCTCTTTTCAAATTTTGTAAAAGTTAGTGTAACACTATTACTATTAGTAGTTTAGGTTTAAAACTAAAGAAACTATAATGTCCGGAGCAAATCACGTTTCGAATCATTTTGTTACAAAAAGGATAAAAATCATGGGAGGGAAATATTAAAAACACTCGTGTTAAATATAAATAAAGAAATGTTGTTTTGCTCCGGACAGAACTATAAAACATGGCACCAGAACAGCTTTTTGATCAGGTAACTAAAAAAAGTTGGGAAAACCTTAAAAAAACCTTATAAGGTTCAAAACTTTAAACCGAAATACGCCAAATGTTTGAAGAAAATCCCCCATTTTGAATTGTTTTACGTTGGAATTGTGTTACCTATGCTAGTGCTGCCCCCTAACCCCCCGATCCTTCCCTCATCAGGATGCTGATTCTCCTTACCGCTAGGTATATCGTACTGCCCACGACTTATCCGGTTTCCGTTTCCGTTTCCGTTGTACTCGACGTGCGAGCTGGAATGATAATTGTCGTCACGATCCATCCCGACCATTTCATAATCCTTGGTGGGACTGTTGCCTCTGTACTTGTGGGAGCCACCATTAGTCGCTGCAAATCCACCAAAAGTTAGTATTTAAAAGGAAAACAAGATGGCGCTGAAAAGAAATCCAACGAAGTAAAAATATAATTAATCAAACTTTAACATAATGTATCTTTGCAACGCCATCTGCAAATAAACACAAACAAAAAATAAAGAGGCAAAATTTTGAGTCGAGAGAGTTTGAAAAGTGTGTTTTTAAACATGATGGAAACTGGGTTTAAATAACGTAATTGTTAATTAGAAATGTAAAAAGCGGGGAAGGAGAATAAAGCAAAGGATCAAATCTAAACAAAAAAGAAATGACATTTTATTTGAAAAAATGGTATACTTGTATCTTTTAACACAGGGGCGGAAGGAATTCCAATGGGTGAGACTGGTTTAGATTTTTCGGAGGAGGGAGGGTCTGCCGGAGGCAGTTCTGATACTGGTGGAGATAAAATGGGTGTGGCAGGGATGGGCGTGGAATCTCCGGAAGAAGAATGAGCGGGTAAACTCTTCTTCTCTGCTTGAGGGGTTAGGCTAGGCCAGAGCGATGAATTATAATAATTCTTGACATGATTAATAATTCCAGTAGAAAAGTTTTGCACTTTTTTAATACTTTCAGGACTCAAAATCTTCGTGTTTACTGAAAAAGCATGGTTTTTAACTGAGCTTTTATTTCTAAAAACGTGAAATGAATGCCAACACAACCCGACTCACACTCTCCTAGTTCTACATTTTTTTAATGCAATAAAACATTTTTTAATGCATCAAAAAAATGAACATTTGGCGATTTTAAAAATTACCTATTACGCAAGGAGATTCCTTTCTACATCATTTTTTGTCCTTTATAAAAAACGCGAAAAAAAAACACACAAAAAGGGGTTGATGCAGAAAGTACAGAAGGTGCAGGAAGACTGGCTGGCAAACGTTTCACAAAAAAAAAACAGATTTTTAAAATATGGAAAAATCGTTACCTTTCGGAGGAGAGTTCCTGAAACAAAGAAACATATTATTTATTTTAATTGGCATTTATGAAAATAAATACATATTATATTTTTGGGACACAATTTAAAAAATTGATAATATAAAAATTTGGCCCATTTAAAAACATGTAATTTTTAGCTATGCACAAAAATCGATCAGGTTCATTTTTCTCATTAAGAAAATTTAGGAAAATTAAATTGAATTAACTTTTTGAAAAAATCTGGACATGTTACATTTTTTAGAAATGTAAACATTTTAAGGATTTAAGTTGCAAATAAAAAAAAAAATAAAAATAAAAAATAAAAAATAAAATAAAAAAAAACTTACATGGAAGACGAGTTTTGAATGACTGGAGCACTGTGATTTGCTATAGGCAGAGGACGATTATATGCTCGTCTTGGGAGTGTTCCCTTCTGCACCTCCTGAATTTTAATTTTTAATCAAAAAATTTCAAATTTTTTTGCTGTGAAAATTCAAAATCTGAACTTTTCCTGGCTTGTTGCCCATAAAATCTATTTAATATCTGACATCTTTAATCCATCAAATGTCGAATAAGAAAATTAGATTTTAAAATTTTTTAAATATATAATTTTTAAAATATTTGAAAGTTTACCTTGGCCAACTTGTCCACAACAGCCTCAAGTTCACTGTACACCTTTAAACAATATTTTTAGATTTAACATTTAAAAATATATATCTAGTCGACAAATGTTTTAGTTGTTTAAGTCAGTTTTAAATATGTCCCTATTAAGTCAGTTTTAAATATGTCCCTAGACAGCTTATACGTCTACATAGTTCTAGCGTGTTTTTTTTGTTCGTTTCTAAACAGATTTTAGTCAAAGTATAGTCTGGTTTTAGTTAGTTTCTAAACAGCTTTTAATCTAATTTTTATTCTGGTTTTAATTGGTTTCCAAACAGATTTTAGTCCAAGTTAAGTCTGGTTTAAGTTTGTTTCTAGACAGATTTTAGTCCAAGTCTAGTCTGGTTTTAGTTTGTTCTAGACAGATTTTAGTCCAAGTCTAGTCTGGTTTTAGTTAGTTTCTAAACAGATTTTACTCCAAGTTTAGTCTGGGTTAAGATTGTTTCTAGACAGATTTTAGTCCAAGTAAAGTCTGGTTTAAGTTAGTTTCTAGACAAATTTTAGTCCAAGTATAGTCTGGTTTAAGTTTGTTTTTAGACAGATTTTAGTCCAAGTATAGTCTGGTTTAAGTTTGTATCTAAACAGATTTTAGTCCAAGTATAGTCCGGTTTTAGTTTGTTTCTGGACAGATTTTGGTCCAAGTATAGTCTGGTTTAAGTTTGTTTCTAAACAGATTTTAGTCCAAGTATAGTCTGGTTTTAGCTTGTTTATAGACAGATTTTATTCCAAGTATAGTCTGGTTTCAGTTTGTTTTAAGTCTGGTGTTCAGTCTGCTTTAGTCTGTTATTCTAATAATTGTCTATTTTAAGATTGCTGAACCCTGTTTGTTCTTATAAACTATACTTCATAAAATTTTGTTTAGCCTATTTACAATCTGTGTTTAATGAAATTTGATCTACAAGACTCATTTATTATGGTGTTAGTTTGCATGAGAATCAATTTGCTTAATATTTCGAGCAGCGAATAACATTAATAAATCCATTTCATGTAATGAATATTTATAAAATAAAAACATATTTAGAACCTTAAAAAGTTCAATGCGAGTACAATTTAATAGTTTTTTTTGAATATTTAATCAAATATTTTTAATTAAATTTGTCTTTAAAATATTTCAAAATATGTCTAAAGTCGGAACTTAAGTATGACGCTAATCTACATCCCACAAAATCGGTGATAACAATTTAGACTTCTAATTTGAAGCTATCTTAGGACCTTAATAGTAAAAAACAGCTGATTGTATTTAAGCGAACTCCAAAGGCTGATCAGAACATTTCTTTTGTGGCTTCTAACTTTGGCGTTTAACATATCCAATGGGATTAACTTAATCCGTCAGATTAAATGAATTGTTTTTTCTTAAGGGATAAAAAAAATCCAAAATTTATTCACCTTTGATGTTTCTGAGTGGAAGACCTCCTCTGCAGCAAAGAGTGTCTGCATGTTGGTGACAAGGAACAGGATCCTGGAGTCGTACAAGGCAGGCAATTCATCATGTAACTCAGAGTTCAAAACCTTTACAAAAAAATCGTTTAAAACAGGTCTTTATCATCTAACAAGTAAAATTAATTTTCAGATTGGTCTTGCATAATACTTTTCGTATCTGTAAATAGTTCACTTAAACCTAGACATATTACTTGACATTACTTGAACCACTTTGTGACCTAGGAGCCCCTTTTTGATTTTAAGCACTATAGTATGAAAACAAAATTAATTTGAAAGCGATTAAAATTTCAAAACTATTTTGTTTTTCTCAAAAGCTCTTCAATAAAAGTAGTTTTAATTGAAAACCAATAAAAACTTCAATCTCAATTTACTTAGTTAGACGCAAGTTGTTGATGCACTGGGTAAAAAATCAACACAAGAGGGTTTACAAAGTCGAATTAGTATCCGAATAATTTGTCTTATGCTAGGTTTGAGTTTGGGGGTGTGCACAAAATCTCTGATAACAAAACACCGAATGGTATTTGATTGAACCTTCAAAAATGCAAAAAAAGATCATTTTATTTTTAAAATTGTTTCTTAAAGAATATTCTACCTCGTATGTTCGTTTTGCATTTTCCATCTGCTCTTTAGCTCTAATAAATTTTGCCTAAACATTAGAAACAAGATTTAGGAATTAAGAATGTGATTAAAAGAAGGGGAGAGAAAAGGGAGCGAAAAATCAGGGAAAGGACAAAATTAGGAAAATTGAAAAAAGCTGAAAGTGATAAAATGGAAATGGTAAACTTTACAGGAAAAAGGGGTTGAAAAAAGGGGTTGAAAAAAGGGAGAATGAAAATAAAAGATGCGATGAACCTTCTTTAAAATGGACTTAAAAACAAAAACGGATTTTTTGGATCGNATAAGGAGAGAAGGGGGGGAGCAAAGATATGTTGTTCACCTCATTTCTATTTGGATTATTTTGCATCTGCTGAACTGTATGTCTCTCAGCATCAAAATCTATCAGTTTTCTTCCACGTTTATCAATCTTTTTCTAAACAAAATAAATATTAAAAAACATTTCATGAGTTGCTTAAACTTTTCAGCTTTTGATATTGCCAAAACGTTTTAAAAACGTACAAATTGCTATTTAATTAAATTTTTTAGCATTCAAAAATTGTTTATCTGAAGTTTAGAGAAACAATTAGGCAGTAGAATGTTAAAAAGCCTGGAGAGAAATTTGAAACATTTTATTTTTGTCACAAGAAAAATCTTTTCTATTTATAAAAATAGATGAAATTATAGAGAAGTATATTTGACAAAAATTTAATTGTTTCTATATCGGAGTTGCCAAATGAAGGTTTTTATCATCTTCTTCAGAGATAGGACCTTAAAAAACTCTAATTTCATAATTCGTCTTTACGACCTATGGATTTAAAATTTTCATATCTCAAACTTAGATAATATAATCTAGCAAAAAAAAAACAATTGTCTAAAAGGTTGAGAAGATTTAAGTTTAAAAATTTGAATTCCTTTTAAGATAATTAACTCTCAATGTAAACATCTATTAAGAATCAAGAAATGTGAATGGAAAGCTCGCAGCATGCTGCATATGTGTATTTTGAGAAAGCTTTTGTAGTAAAAAAGAAATGTTTATTCTATCCTTAAAATATTCTCTTTTCTGTGTCAAGTTGCTGCTAAAATATTACATAATAAATATATAACCCATTTTAAAAACATTTATATAAAATGGTTGGCGTTCATATCAATGCAATTAAGACTAGTTTTTCAAAGTTTTGATTTATGACAAGCTTTTTTTAAATTACAAGTTTTGGAAGCTGTAAGAGTTATCAGCTTCTCTTTGTTTCCATGTTTATATGTGAATTCATGCTATTTATAAAGGTTTGTATAAATCAAAATTTAAGGAAAAAATGGGAAAATTTAGGAAAAAAAGTCCCAGGAATTAAAAACACAGGACTTTATTTCCAGTGACATTTTTTCCAAGGACATGAGAAAATTCGGACTTTTTTCCAAAGTTTTTAATTCCAGGTTTTTTTTCCCGGAAACTTTTTTTCCTGGGACTTTCTTACCTAGAGTCTTTGTGAGTAACCCTGTAGTTTAAAGATAATATTTATTATAGAGTTTGTCTCAGAAAGTCGTTCAAATAATTATTGCTAAATTTGGTACAGTTAACAGTGTACAGTTTACAATGTACAGTTAACAGTGTACATACTGTAACCCACCCTATGTAACTGGTTGCAGACACACGATTGATATCTGATATTCTATATCTTAGATTGAGCAAATAAGTTCCGAACAGTGTATATTTCAAGATAAATATGACACTTAAAGATCAATTTCTTTCGAACTAAAAACTACAGTTACGTTATAGCTGATTCAACATTTAAGTTCAATTGTTTAAAACCTGATGCAGGGGAGTTGAAAGATATTAAAAACTTAAGCCCGCAACCCCCCCCCCTTATTTAAATATCCTATAAGTACTCTGCTTTAAGCTGAGATGTTGCACATATTGTTGAATAAAAAAATAGTTTGACATATAGATGTAATTAATTGTGCTAATATTAAATAACTAGAAACAGTATTGCATTGAATAAAAATATAAATAAATGTATCAAAATTAATTATTAAAAGAATTGTCTGAGGAGTCTGAGACATAGCATGCAAACCGCAAAGCTAATCCATTGATTTTAAATAGTAAACTAGAAAAGATACTTGTGATTAGATTTTTAAAGATTATACAGATCCTGAGGCAGAATTTAAAGAATTTGAGTCGCGGCTTAAATTTAAGACGCGGCTTAAATATGATTGGTTCCATTTTTTAATGTTTCAAGATTTAAACCGGTGCTCAATTGAAACCGGTTTTGGGTGGATTTGAGACGCGGCTCAAATTCATTAAATTCGGACTCAGTTTTTTCCCTTCTCGACTTTTACCAAAACATGCCACCATATTTTTAATAATTACTTACACAAATTCTGACAATATTTCTATATTATTCATTTTATTGAAATCAATATCAAAGGGAACAGCATTGCAATATAAAGTAGCCATTAATATAGAGTGAGACACGTCCGATTAACAACAGTACCCTGTACGTCTTTATACTTTCAATAATGTGAGAATGTTATTTTTCTCACATTTTCCTCCCATGTTTCTGCAACATAAATCCGCAAGTAACTTTTGCTGAGAAACCAAAAACAAAACAATCAATTTCAAAGAGAAAAAAGCAAAAATATCTTATTCATTCCTAATTAGCCAAAGCTAGGGTACAGTTCTGAATCGAACATATCGCTTGAAATTACGTCTACTGTTAAATTAGAAAATATAATCCGTTGCTTACCCTCATCTCTGGAAACTGTGCCTGGTATGTATTAAGGGGCGTGACCACCTGGTCTGCTAGCTTGTGTGCTAGATCCGCCCACAACATCTCATTATTTTGAGCCTAAATTAAATACAAATATAAAAAAATATTAAATATGTATCAAAAGGGATCAAAAATTTATTTAAAAACTCATTTAGTTTATTTTGAAATATGTTCAAAATTCCGATTGTAAGCGTGTGTAACTGTGTACTTTACATACCTAAATAAATACAAGTTAAACACATTTTTAAAAGTGAACATTTTTTAAATGTATTTAAAAGGGATCATATATATATAAATGCAGTTTCTTTAAAATTCATTTTATTCTATCTTGAAATGTGCACGTGAAACTTTAGTATCTTAACTCATTCCCACACACCTTGTTTTAATTAGTTAAAGTACATGGTGGTACCACATCAGTTTATTAACCCTATCCAGATTGGACTATTTTGGTCTTGTAAAGATTTGAGGGTTTTCAAACCCCTCCCTTAGATTTTTCCCTTAAAGTTAAGATAGATGAGTGTGACACATGTTCCTCCTAGTCTAACTGTTTAATTCACAACAAACTTGTACACATTGTAAACATGGATGGAGAGAGGCTTACTTGTAAATAAACTGTAATCAACGATAGCAGTGGGACGGATAACAAGTCATCTTATCTATATCGTGTAGGGAGATTCAGTCGTTAAAAAATTCCAAACCAGAGAATGCTTTGAACACATGTTAAAAATCATGGAAAACTAAAGCCACCGTTGGACCAGGAATTCTATATTGGACCAGTTCATAAGGCTTTCCCATACACCATCCAAGTACATGACCCGGGATCAAATTTAATGAATTTACAAGATCGCTAAACTATAAACTACCACCGTTTTTAATCCTAAATCACTGACCCAACATTTTTGAATCTTTCCCTAGCTTTGAACATATTTGAACAGGTGTAAGGTAGTTTAGCGATCTCTCGCCAAATTCGTGTTTTACCTGTACATAAAGCATATCTTGCCCAACCCATTCCTTCTCATAAATCTCGCTTAAAGTATCCATCAGGTTTTTGTTGGCTGTCTGCATAGCTGAAAACAAAAACAATTAAATAAACCAAAAAAAGGCTATTAGAAATGCCATTACAGTGGTGCTTAGCTTCATAAAGGAAGGCTGGAGTAATAAAGAAAAAATTATATTCTTTGGCTTATCTGTTTTTTTCCTTGTGTTGCATCCAATTAACGTCAAAACGGCAAAACATATCAAGCGCAATTTTTTTGTTGTAACTCACATAATCTTGCATCGGCCAAAATCAAAATATTTGGACCAAACAAAAATTCGATTAAAATATTTATTAAAATCTTTAAAAAATGGTTGTTACTAAAGTAAAATTTAAGAGCTTAATTCATAGCGCAATCTTTTTGGAAGCTTTGTTAGATAAGATAATGATTAAAAATACCACCCCCCCCCCTTAATAGTGTTATCGTTTAAAGGGCTAGAAAGGGAGGGGAGGGGATAGAAAGGGGGTAGGATGACTATAAAAGAAGATGAGGGGGAGGGACTGAAGTGTTATTTCAGACTCTTCAATTCCTTCTTCAGAGTACTCTGTTTATTAAACAATAATAAACAATTTTATTTGACAAAAATTATCATGAATTTGCAAATTTACAAAACAAAAAACACCCCCCCCCCCCCCCAACTTTAAATTTGTTATTCAATTGAGAAAGAAAAACCTCACATATAAATGCATTGAACTCCTTCTTGCAGTTTTCAAAATTTCGGCAAAGTAAACCTCTTAGAGGAATTACATTTTATTTATTGGCTTGGTTAAATTGTTATTATTTGAATTCAATAAACACTGTTCACTGATCGAACAATATACGTCTGTATGACCCCACTATAGACCCAGAATTTAGTTGTTGTCGGTCAGAATAAAAGGATGATTTATAAAAAACAAACAATATTTTCAGAGACATGTAATGTTGCCACAACGTCTGAACTCTATTTCGTAGATCTTTTATTTTTCAAACTATCAAATAATTTATGCTTAAAAATCAAAGGTTTCAGGCTTGCAAAGATATTGGGATAAGAATATTTGAGTTTGTGGCAAAAACTCAGTTCCTTTATCTATCAAACAAGAAGATTTGCTGATTTTGTTTTAGTGATTTATGTACGAAGCCTTATTTTTATATTTACCTCTTATACATCGCAGATAGTTGTTAATATCCTTGTGTAACCGTGTGGCGTTAACCTGCAACAAAGAACTTACGTAAAAAAATATTAAAATATCTCAAACTTTATAAATTATCAGTAAAAAGTGTATTTATTGTTGCTAGAAATAAAAATAATTTTTTATTAGCATTTAATAAATATTTACAATTTTTAAGTTATAAATGAATCAGAAAGTTATATTTTTGAGACTATTCCGTTTAAAAAATTTACAGCATGCCTATGGTGGTAAATCATTTGTGAAATAACATACTCAAAATTCCAATCTTTTAGAAACAAACAGAACGGTCGGCATAGTGTAGCATGAATACATAATATGAATACATCTAATGGGAATGTAAATGTATTTACAAATGGCTGTTCAAGAGTTCAATCATATAAATTTCCCTAGAAGGGGATCATTCATTAGGCGTGCCGTCCCGGTTTGCCTTACATACTACACAGTTTGTAATTGTACTGTACAGCTTGCTTTAGTCGGTTAAACATTTAAAAGTTTTCCAGCTTTATTTGAACAACATTTAAGAAGATATTCCTCGGTTTCCATTTTGTAAAAGTGTTGAATTCTGTTGATTTATTTCTTTGTATTTGCTGTATAGACCCGCAAATTACTTTTAAAGAGAAACTACAATTCAAAATGTTAAATTTACAGAAACAACTATAATATATTTATAATTTCTGTTCAAGTTCAAAATGTTTCAGGGAGTTGTGAAAAAGTCATGGAATTCTTAAAACTGTGTCACTTGAAACCATGTCGACCGCCACATTCATAAACCATACATATTGTCGTACAGTACACCCCCTATGATTGGTTCNTCAGTACATAACAACTGAATCAGTACATAACAACTGAATCAGTACATAACAACTGAATCAGTACATAACAACTGAATTTGAGTTCATATATCTTTTAAAAAGTTTAAAAACTGCTGAGTAAATGGAATTCCAGCCTACACACTCTATATCAGGTTATACACCTTGCCACATGCTTTCACAAGGTATAGAAATAAATATCTAAAATGGAACTGTGGGCGCGCTATCATAATTGGCACCTTGTTTAAAAACGTTCAATTCCGATAAATAAACCCTAAACACATTAATCTGCACGAAAATTTTGAAGATAGTCTTTTTTTTTATCGGAAAATAGAAAATTTTCAATATTTGGTTAGGCAGCCGAGAAAAGGAAGGAAATCGACAAAATTGATCTTTTTCCATGAGCGCGAAAAACGGAGATATTTTCCTCATGGCTTGTCTACTTGATTAAGGTTTTATGGCTTTACTGTAAAATTGTAACTCTTTATATGAAGGGTCACTTGAAATGGCGTCGAAAATTTAAAACTTCAATCTTGAGTGTATGCAGCAGAGAAAATATAGGAAATTTATCTCTATTCGAGAAAAAAACTGATATATCTTCCACATCAAAGGTTTACCTGCTAGGTGTTAAAATATTTACCTGCTGGGTGTTAAAATATTTACCTGCTGGGTGTTAAAATACTTACCTGCTGGGTATTAAAATATTTACCTGCTGGGTGTTAAAATATTTACCTGCTTGGTGTTAAGATATTTACCTGCTGGGTGTTAAAATATTTACCAGCTGGGTGTTAAAATATTTACCTGCTGGGTGTTAAAATATTTACCTGCTGGGTGTTAAAATATTTACCTGCTGGGTGTTAAAAATCTGCTGGGTGTTAAAATATTTACCTGCTGGGTGTTAAAATTTAGCAAATGATCTTCAAAAATTTCGTCCGTTGTTTTGTCGGCTTTCCCAAGATTTTGCATAATCTAAACAAAAATATTATTATAATTTATTTTTTTAATTTTTAGTTTGAATCTGAAACATATTTAACAAAAGGACTATACATAGACGGTGTACTAGTTTAATAAATATCTTTCTTACAGCATGATTGGTGTTCTTTAAATTTACTTAGGATTGTTCATATTATAATAGAGTTGTTATAATAATATTATAATGTTATAATATTATAATATTATAATATTATATTATAATTTTTTCATTAAAATTTCTGGTCTATTTTACAACCTCAATGTAAATCTGGAAATTATTCAAAAGTAACGTAAAATTTAAGGTCTTAACCCTGAACTAGTTTTTTTTGTGTCCAAGAACTCTTTATTTTGGCACTAACGCCGAGAAATTTTTTGACTTTGAATGATCAGAAATTTTATGGATTAAAAAAAAGGCATTTCTTTAATGCACAGGGTAGGTTACAGGGCGGTAAGAAGTCCGGTCTGTGTAAAAAAAAAATCTAAAATAGCACATAACTTTTTTGTGACTATAAAAGCTACACAGATCGAAAAACTATATTTTTGAAAAGAACTTAAAAAATTAATGTAGAAACATGTGTCACACTTTGATATTTCTCTTTAAAAAACATATTTTTTACATTTTTTGGCATTTTTTTCAACCCTCCCTAGCACCCAAACTATTAAAGTTATCGGTTTAATTTTTTTTGGGCTATGAACATGCATTTCAACCCTATCTATACCTATTCTCTACTTGGACTTTACAACCTGATGGCGGACACCTAAAATATTTCAAACTTGGTTACTTGATCTAAAAAATTTCAGAGTTTGTAATATCTAAAGTTTAAATCGCTGGGTTGCAGAGATATAAGGATTAGAAAATTAGAGTTTGTGACAAAGACTCAATTCATTTATATCTGGATGAGTGAAGGGGTGTTATATAGGATGAATGAATGAATAAATGAACATCTGTCCTGAGTGTTGAATGACTCAAACAATAATAATAATAGAATCTGGAACGGACTTCACTCGGTTCATACAAGCTGAATACATATTTCAAAACAGGATTATTCTACACAAATATATTGATGAAGGGGAAAATGGTTTTCAGAGAATTGAAGGGATTGCATTCTGCATAGACGTTAGTTATTCTGTTAGTAAATATGTCGGATTCACAACTGTGCCCTTTTCATTCATTTGAGTAACTAAGGAAGATGAAAAATTATTAATTATTCTTTCTTGAAAACTATAAAGTTTTAAGAATATCTCCGTTTGTTGTAGAAATCACTTGTATGATTGAACATCAATTGAAAATAATCAATAAAAGCTGGAAAAATAAGGATATAACATTCATCTTTTATCAGACACAGGTTTGAATCGAACAAGGTAGTCCTTGTAGGAGGGTTACTTCAAGTTACATCTACTCTACAGTATTCTGTATAAAAGATTAATCTTGATATTTTATCAAAATAATATATTTTGCATTAAATAAATCAAAAATAAATGTGTATTTTTTTTAAATTGATCATAAGTATTTTTATGAGATTGGGTTTTAATTCAAGGTTTGGTTTAAACAAGGGCTCCCTGATATTTAGTTAGGCAGTAAAGGCTTGAATTTGAGACTGGTTTTTAGGCAGCTAGGCATACTTTGCAAGGTGCGTCATGCTTCCTTATATGGCATTGAATGAAGGAGGAGGGGGGGGGGGGGATTAGTATGTTGAAACATTTTTTGGATTTTCAGCGCCCTATAGGTGACAGAAATTGGGTCATAGATTTATCTTGACAATCGACCTATAAGGTCAGAATTAGTCTATTTTTGAGAAATTTATCTTCCATTCTATTTATCTATCCATCCATCTATCCATCCATCTATCCATCTATCAATCATTTCACACCAATAGATCATACTATCAATCGATAAATCATTTCACTAAGGTGCAGGATAAAGAAGAAACTATTCACTGAATAATTGTTTGGAGTTGGTTTCTTCTGCGTCAAGTTTATGCATATATTGCATGCAGTTAAATCATCTATTCATCTGATTACTCAGTTATATCTATTCATCTGTTTACTCATTTATACCCGTTCATCGTATTTACTCAATTATATCTATTCATCTGTTTACTCAGTTATATCTATTCATCTGATCACGCAGTTATATCTATTCATCTGTTTACTCAGTTAAAACTATTCATCTGTTTACTCAGTTATATTTATTCATCTGTTTACTCAGTTAAATCTATTCATATGTTTACTCAGTTATATTTATTCATCTGTTTACTAATTTTTATCTATTTACCTGATTACTCAGTTATATATCTATTCATCTGTTTACTCAGTTATATCAATTCATCTGTTTACTCAGTTAAAACTATTCATTTGATTACTCAGTTAAATCTATTCTTCTGTTTACTCAGATATATCTATTCATCTGATCACGCTGTTAAATCTATTCATCTGTTTACTCAGTTAAAACTATTCATCTGTTTACTCAGTTAAATCTATTCATATGATTACTTAGTTATTATCTATTCATCTGTTTACTCAGTTATTTATATATTCATCTGTTTACTCAGTTATATCTATTCATATGTTTACTCAGTTAAATATATTCATCTGTTTACTTAGTTATATCTATTCATTTGTGTACTCAGTAATATCTATTCATCTGTTTACTCAGTTATATCTATTAATTTGTTTACTCATCCTTATCCATTCATTTTTTACTCAGTTATATCTATTCATTCAGTTAATAAATGTAAGGTAGTACATTAGTACATATTTCTTTTTTTTTCAATACCCTTTTACAAGTTTTCATTTTGCGGTTTGAAAATATAAAAATTAAACTTAAAGTTCTTTATGCCATTCCTCCATGCTCCCCCCTCCTTCAAACCACTTTAGACCATCTCCCCCCTCCCTAGATTTGGATGTGCTATAGGTGTGTGGGAGAAATCAAGAGGCAGAACTCGGGACAGATTGTTTAATATTCATTAAATTTCACGACATCAACCCTACGTGGTGGAAGGGAGAGGGGAGAGGAGGGAGCGGCAGGGATGCAATTTTTTTTGGAATTTTGAAGATTGATGTGGGGGGTGGGGGGTAAGAAAGGAAAATTGGATATCAAAAAGCAACTTTTTTCATTCTTTTTGATACTTTTTACCAACAAATTAATAATATTTCCTCTAAAAATAATTTTTTTCAGAGAATAAAACGATAAAAAAGCCTTTTTTAAAAAGGGGGGCCGGGGGGAAATGATTTTTCGTGAAAATATAGACCCCTGGCGAGAGGGGATCAAAGTAAACAAGGGAAACCAACTGGAAGTTTAATCTACTTAGAAGTGAATGATGAAAACAATGATATCTGAAACCATTTTCCTTAAATTTCCTTTATTTATTTATATTTTCCAAGAAGATGCTCCTTGCTGCCAAGCTATTTCTTGATTTAGGTTCCCTGGTTAGTGTGAAAGTAAAGTTTGGATTGAAAGGGAGTAGGGGAGATTCATTGGAATGTATTGGACAGAATGAAAGGGATTGGAACGTGTCATATGAATTTTCATATTTATTATGAAAATAAAATAAATATTTAAGAAAAGGAATTTTAACAGAGAAAGAGGCATTTGACCAAAAGGAAGAGTTTTGTATTAGGATGAGACGGGTTTATGCTAGAAAAGGGTGGGACTGATGAAATATCATGGATTCTAAGAATATAGAGAGAGAAAGAAGATTACAGATGAGAGGGATTGCAAGAAATAGGATAAAGAAGAAGGTGAGGGGGTAAAGAAAAGAAGAGCAATAGGGGAGAACTGGGATGAATGGAGGAAGGGGGGCATGCCAAATTTTCAACGATATCCTTTAATCCTTGTTCGGAGCAAAAATGATGAAAATATCCTAGTTTTTCTATCTTAAATGTCCAATTTCTAATTGAGGTTTTCTCTAAAACAGTACCTTGCGGATGTTATGCTCTCAGCAGAGACAAAAACTTAATTTTGCGAAGTTTACACTTGTTTATAGGTAAAAAACCGACGATCTTCCTCATTGTTACTCAGATGAAGGTTTAAAGGGTACTGCTGTGAATGGAAGGGCTCTTGAAATGATGTCTATACAGTCCCTTGAATACTTGTACAATGTACATAACAATAAAAATTATTGAAATTAGATTTAGAATATCTCTCCTTGATCTAATATTGATAAAGAAATTTAAAATCCCTGTCTTATCATGTTATCCCAGATTTTGAGAAATATAATTCATCAAATCAAACTTAATTTATCATATCAAGCTGATCTTAAATAGTTCAGGGCTAAAAATGTAGTTAGAACCTTAAGGGTAATGGTGTATGCACTGGCCCCCCNAATGTCAACGTATCGCCCCTCTCGACTCCCCCAAACAAACTCCTAAAAAGTGTAATCAATCCCCCTTTAATAAATTTATTTGAAAGAAAAATGGAAAAAAGCATTTCTAAACTTAGGCTCAATCTTAATCCCAGAATACGATCCAATCCAATTTCTTCCTTCCTTTAATTTGAATAGTCCGTTTATAAATGTAAAAAAAAAAAAATTTTTAAGGAGCGTGGAAGAATCCAATTTAAAATTTTGCTAATTTCCAATTTTACAATTTTAATTTTTTTACAGTAATTATTTTTTTTTAAATGTTCTTTTTTTAAATAAGTCAAGTTCATTCATTTTGTTTAGCAAATAAAGCCTTGATTTTCAGGGTACTCATTCTTAGGTAGTTTGTATTTCAAGCTTGTTGCATTCTATTGAATTAAAAACCATGAGTCTTGACATTTCCGACCTTCTGTCTGGAATTATAAAAAGTTTCCAATTAACCCTGAAGGTATAGATTCCTCCAAAACCTTTTTCATTTATTTGAAAATAAAATAATTGTTTGTGTGAAAATAAGATTAAGTTTGTAAATCATTAGAAAACAACTAATATTCATGAATTTAGCAAATGATCTTCAAAAATTTCGTCCGTTGTTTTGTCGGCTTTCCCAAGATTTTGCATAATCTAAACAAAAATATT